TAAGTTTATGTGTCCTTGACATTGGTTTTGCTTTCTAAACTTACAAAAACGATGAACACCAGAATGATGCACTAATGACTCACAGAGTTGTGTACTTACAAATAAAAGTAACACTGAGTCAGAGCTGACAGCATCACACCTCGGCTTCTCCAGACCACTATTAGACATGACAGCTAAGCATTAGAAATGAACATGGCAGAGTGTGATACAGCCCATGCCTTTAGCGGTAGGTTCTTGGAGACTGGTAGTAGTTCTTGCTCACAATTCTGAAAGAAAGAATTCTCTTCCTGTGGGTCAGGATTCCCCAGAAAAAAACCCGCTTCTGCCCCTCAGGATCCCACCGGAAACCCCATTCTGCCCTCAGATTTCCACTGGAAACCCCATTCTTCCCCTCAGGATTCCCCTTACACACCTTTCTGTCAGGATTTTCTTGGAATCCTCCCACTCTCTGTCAGAATTTCATGGAAACAACCTTCTCTCTGTCAGAATCCCCTCAGAAAGCTTCTCTGTTGAATTCATGTTAGGAATTAAGACACTTAATTTTTCTTTTCCCTTGCCCCTCTCTCAGAGTTAGATACATATTTTTCAAAAGTGTTAATTTGTAGTTTGATACAAAACTGAAGGTGAACAGATTATGAGTTAAATCTAAGTTGACAAGCCAAATTAAACATTTTGCAGGTGAAGTGTTTTGATGTTGTTCACTGCTGCTTGGTGAGTTCATTAATGGTAGAGAGAACTTGGAAAACTGAGAGGAATTATGGTTTTTTTATAGTAATTTTGTAAATTACCTTTGCCTTGGAGACAGAGTTTCCAAAGAGGAGTGAGAAATGGTTTAAATACCCTCCTTTACAGGCTCTCTGTTGTAATACACTGAATGCCCAAGTCAAATGCAAGTTGATTTCCACTACGAAAATCAGTTTTCCCACAAAAGCAAAGGATAATCTGCTGCGAATATGTGGATTTAAAGTGGAGATGTATAACATATTCCTACTTTGTGCATTCCAGAAATCTGGAGAAACAAACATTGCTTCGGTTTGATATTTTTCAAACTTATTTGAAAATAAATATTTTTTGAAAGTGATAATTTGTCTTTTTTACTTGTAGGTAAAGGAGAGAAGTTAATGAAACAGTTATTAAAATTCCGGATTTTTAACCCAGAAAAGTTACAGATTTAAATCAAATAAGGTGATCTGTTCTCTGCTATGTGCAGTGAAATAAATTTGATTCCTTTAGTTCATGAACAAGTTAATGTTTCAGTTATTTAAAACACCAAGCCCATACAGATTCCTATTTCTTTCATAATTGTGGATTATTAATGGAACAACAATCAATTCAGTTCAGTTGTTCAGCCATGTCTGACTCTGTGATCCCATGGACTGCCTGTCCATTGCCAACTCCTGGAGTTTACTCAAACTCATGTCCATTGAGTCGGTGATGCCATCCAACCATTTCATCCTCTGTCGTCCCCTTCTCCTCCCACCTTCAGTCTTTCCCAGCATCAGAGTCTTTTCCAATGAGTCAGTTCTTTGCATCAGGTGGCCAAAGTATTGGAGTTTCAGCTTCAGTATCAGTCCTTCCAATGAATATTCAGGGTTGATTTCCTTTAGGATGGACTTGTTGTCAAAGGCACTTTAAAGAGTCTTCTCCAACACCATAGTTCAAAAGCATCAATTCTTTGGCAATCAGCTTTCTTTATAATCTAACTCTCACATCCATACATGACTACTGGACAAACCATAGCTTTGAGTAGTCAGACCTTTGTTGGCAAGGTAAAGTCTTTGCTTTTTAATAAGCTGTCTAGGTTGGTCTTAACTTTCCTTCCAAGGAGCAAGTGTCTTTTAATTTCAAGGCTGGAGTCACCGTCTGCAGTGATTTTGGAGCCCCAAAAGATAAAATCTGTCACTGTTTCCCTTGTTTCCCCATCTGTTTGCCATGAAGTGATGGGACCAGATGCCATGATCTTAGTTTTCTGAATGTTGAGTTTTAAGCCAACTTTTTCACTCTCCTCTTTCACTTTCATCAAGAGGCTCTTTAGTTCTTCTTCACTTTCTGCCATAAGGGTGGTGTCATCTGCATATCTGAGGTTATTGATATTTCTCCCGGCAATCTTGATTCCAGCTTGTGCTTCTTCCAGCCCAGCGTTTCTCATGATGTACTCTGCATATAAGTTAAATAAGCAGGGTGACAATATACAGCCTTGACGTACTCCTTTTCCTATTTGGAACCAGTCTGTTGTTCCATGTCCAGTTCTAACTGTTGCTTCCTGACCTGCATACAGGTTTCTCAAGAGGCAGGTCAGGTGGTCTGGTATTCCCATCTCTTGAAGAATTTTGGAAAAACAACACTTTACTTGAGAGGAAAACCTCCGTCATCCCACCCTGCTTTACTGAAAGGTACCTTGGGAACTCTGTAGGCAGAAGTGGACTTTAGGTGTTAGCCCAGAGTGTGGTATACCAGAGAACCTTAGAAAGAGGGCTGTGTGTCTCCTCCACACGAGGATGCCACAGTAAACAGCACATCATAACAGCATCAGCTGTGCATTCCAGCAGTTCAAATGTGGGGCGATATCCTTTCCCAGGTATCTTCATAATCAGACATCCTCTGCCTCCGATACATTAATTCTCACTTTCTGTTGTGTGTAATACCTTGCTTAATGTATGCTGTAGCAAACAGGAAAGGTGCAGGTTTATTTCCTAATGAAGATGTTGGTTATTCCAAATCACCTGGCCTGTTATATCTGTTATAAATTTAGAGAATATTTAAACAATACAGTGTGTCCCCAAATCATAGTGTAAGTCAAACTTAAAAAAAAAAAAAAGAACATAAAACACTTAGGTAAGTTGCATTTTTTGGTGTTTTCTTTATTCAGGTGTTCACACTGGTTTCTTAGACATAAACTCTGTTCCAGGATCAAATGTGAAGAGGGTATATGAAGTGCTATGTAGTTCAGTCACAGATGCTGGGTTTTGGCATTTAATTTTTAGATGAGGCAAAAAGTTCCAATATGCTTAAAGGAAGTCATGCATTGTATACCACGAAGTATGAGACCTACCTAAAATTCTTTACTGGACTGTTCTATGTAAATGTTATTTATAAATCAAACACAGAAAGCAGTGCTCTATCCAGGCAATGTTTTCTTTGATGGAAGGAAACACAGTGGGTGGTGGTGGTGTGTGTGTTCTATATTTTTGCTGGTTTTGTCGTGGACAGTGAAAAGTCTGCAGGCTTTTTTTTAAAAAATTTATTCATTTTTAATTGAAGGATAATTGCTTTCCAATATTACATTGGTCTCTACCAAACATCACTCTGCATCAGTCACAGACTCATGAACGTTATCGCAGTGTGCCCTGTCCTCTCTGAAGGGAAGCACTGAAGAAACAGGTTTCTCTGTTTAGGGGCACCGTCTAGCCCCTCGGCCGTGATGGTTACTTTACACCACAGACCACCAGCAGTAGGGGAGAGGACAGGGACCCCAAAGGGTCCTTCAGGTCCCCAGTGGCCGCAGCTGAGCACAGCTGACCTGCCCCTCAGACCTGCGGCTGCTCCCACTGGCCCGCCTGACCAAGGCCCACCTCTGTGCCTTCAGAGCTTCCCCTGGGGGTGTCCCTTCTGACGGGGAAAAACGATCTGGATACTGTTTAAAAGGTATTCAGAAAAGGAAGATGAGGCATTCTGGGCTTGCTGACTAACAGTGGGCCTCGGTGATGCTGCTGCTGACGGGCGGGCGGGTTCAGTGTCCCGATCAATCAGCAGCTGTGTCGAAGACCCGGGTCCTGTCTCTGCTTCAGACTTATTTGAGTTTTAAAATGATTAGTTAGGAAGTTGGGTCTGTCACAGCCCTACAAGTGCTGACTCCTGTTGTTCTGTGGTTAGGAGATGTCTTACAGCGTCAGCCTATCTGGGAAGACAGGCAGACGCCCAGTGGAGCTGGAAAGAAAAGCACAGCCAGGGACCCTGTGCTTTGTCCCCCTCATGTTGTGGCTGTAAGGGCACTTGCTAAAAAACAAAAGACAAAAAAAGAAAAATCACACTTAGGGAGATGAGCATCTTTCTTTCCAAACTAGGAAGTCCAAAAATATGTTCTGACCATTCCCAGTCAGGGTGGATCTTGTCCAATTAAACAATTTACACATGAGATGCAAGGCAGAGAGAGATTGAGTACATTCACTGATAAAGATTTACATCAGTTTCCCTGTAAAATGTTATAGCAATATTGTGAAAATAGCAGGATTTTATGCATATTCGCAGAAATGTGAAAAAGAAGTTTAACTTTTTTGTAACCAGTGCAAAGAGAGAACAGCTCAATAATCTTTGTAAGAATTCCTGTCCCACATGAATTGTAATGTTTTAAGAAAACTTCCTGCCTTTTGTTTTTGACATCATTGAGTCTAGCTTTCTCGCCAATTCTGGACTATTTCTTATAAAACGGATTCAAGTAGAGCAGAAAAGTTAGATGAGAGATTGGCTCTACTTATAAAATGAAGACCTTGGGAAGTAAAGCATCTTTGTTTCTGTAAGCTGGGTCTGTGCAGTCAGAGTGGTGCTGTGAAGTGTAGGCTTTCTGAGGGCAGAAGAGCCCAGCAGATGTCAGTTCCTCTCAGCCTCCTAAGTCTTCCCACAGCAAGTGGCCTTGGTTATTCAGTGAAGTAGCCGTGGTGGTTTTCCAGGTCCGTCTGATGAGATCTCATCTAGTGTCTGCGGCCCCAGTTCCCCACGCACGCTGGCCCTGGTGGATCTGGTAGCAGGCACACTGGCGTCCACCCCAGTGCCGGATGCTTGTCTGCACCTCTCAGTGACCTGCCTGCTCCCCACTTGGCTTATCTGAGTCTTACCATCCTGCTGTGAGCGGACACTGAGACAGGTCATTTTTGTCCTCACCATTGTCACTGTTGTGATGTCTTAACTGAGCAACACATCTAAGTGTAATTGTTCCTTGTGTGCTAACATTTGTCTGTTCCCCCCCCCCACAGTTCCTTCAGATGTGTTTTTCATCTATTCAGTGTGGAAGGGATATTATGAATATTCAGGGAAAAGATAGCCTGTGACCCCAACTGTCAAACTGTTTCAACTCAGCAAGCAGCAAAGTGAACATGACCTTCATTGAAGCCTCCCAGGGGAGCTGAGGTTGACAGGTAGGCACCCAGGGATCTCCCTCACCAGACCCTCTGTCAGTCTTCTGGTCGAGGGGGCGCCAACGCCAGGCCGAGTGCTGGCTGACATCACCTGGGCTTTGCACCTGCTGCCTCTCACTATGTCATCTCAGTGACGGAGGCAGGACAGTTCCGTCTCCTCACTGTAAAGGTTACAATACCAGTACAGAAAGGCAAATTAATTTGCTCCAGATTATACACAGATCATGTTACATCAAAGATGCAAGATTTATGTTCAGATAGTCACATCTCCAAAATTCACAGTTTTGATAGCCTCTCGCTGTCATTCTGTAAAACTTGTTTGCTCCTGGTGAGCTTTTATTGATGTGTCTCAGTTTAAAAAAGCACCAACTCTGGTTTATTTTTAAGTAAGACACTATTGTAAGTTCCTTATATACATTGTCCTTTTCCTTCTTACATCAATTTTGTGATTTAAGTATGAAACACATTTCTTTTCTTTTTTTTTTTTTTTTTACACTGGTTGAAAAAGAGAGATGCCCAGGAAAACTAAGCGGCCTTCCTAAGTGACAGTACAGGAGTAGGATTTGAACTCTGTGGTCAGAATCTCAGCGATTAGAATTCCGAACCCACACTCACCCACAGGACACAATCACCTTCATACTGAATCTGCTGTCTTCTGTTTGTTTAAATTATCTCACTTCTTACAACAGTGTATCCTTTTTTATAGACTTAACTCCTAAAGGGTTCAGACTCTGAGTTACCACAAGCCAAGCAGCCTTGGTTCTGAACATAAAGGACCCCCGAGGGGCACCCACAGGTTACTGGTGACTAGACAGACGCATGGTTCTAGAGAGCCACTCAGGACTCCTCACATCTCACTTTCCTGCTTCCCTGGCCGGGGAAACATCTAAAAATGGTGCACACATTCTGGGTGCAGGAAAAGAAAAGTAAGTCATACTCACAGATTTTTAACAGGTACTTATTTATGAATTCATGATCTAGGGTCCCCAAAATTTCTTTGCACCTTGACCCTGTGAATGTATAAATGAGATAGACTGGGTGCTCAAATCTAGTCCTGTGTCAGAATAAACAGCCTTTGAAAATATTCAGATTTCATAGGCTCACCCAGGTCCTTTGGATATTTCTCTTCATGGAGTTTAAATTTTTTTCTCCAAAGGAAATGCTCTCCAATGTGACTCTGATGCAATTAGGTTTGGATTTGATAAATAGGTTGGATCAAGAGTTGTTCAGACTGAGTCCCAGTGGACGGAAGCCCCCTGCCCTGTACAGTCTGGTTGGGAAGGCGCATAGAGAAGGAGGCAGAAGTCATGCTTCTGGAGGACCAGCCTGGACCTGGTGTCCTGTCAGGTGCTGTAATTTAATTGACGTCAAACTCTCCTGACTCTTATCTCTACTGACAGTTTTTAGAAGTGGGATTCAGAGTTTTATACGTTAGAGCTGCTGCTGATGGAGATGGACAGCAGCCCAGAGTCAATTTGTTAGGTGGTCCTCCTTGTCCTCGGGTTCTTACCATCCGTGGGTCCTCCCCCTTCACAGGTCTTTCTCGTCTGTGGGTTCCCTTCCATCCTGTGAGGTTAGACAGTGGCCACTCTTCTGTGATGTTAGAGGTTTGCTTCTGTGATGGGAGGAAGTGGGAATTAATTGCCGGAGTCCCTGAAATGAACATTAACCTGTCTCTCTGCAAAGAAGACATTTGGGTTCATTGTTATTATTTAATATCTGTTCATTTGTTTATTTACTTATTTATTTGGTTCTTCCTCTGGGTAGGGAACTAGCCATAGCTGCCAACACATCCTCCCCCCACCCCACACATACATTTGTGCACGCATGTCNTAAGACTTCAGTAAGAGGTGATTTTTAGGAAAAAAGAAGGACTGCAACTAAATATTAATGTCTGTTATTGAAAACACTATCCTCTCTGTATCATATTCCACATAAATGGGCCGAGTGCCTACCTTCCTAACCCATAAGCATTCCTATGATGTAAGAATAACACAGTGATTCTTTCCTAGGTGTTTACAAGGAGGAGGAGGCCCACTTCTGAAAGCTTTTCAGATTAAAGAGCCAGTGGATATCTTCATCAGTGACTTAGAGAATGACAACTGGGAACTGGATGGTTATGTGAGTACTTCCTGGAGAACTGTCTAATCATCATGTCTGTGTAGAGGTGGGGGCACCAATCGGTATTCCTTCTAAGACAACCTGGGTCCTTTCTGCACCGCGAAAACTCAGGGCCCTCATCCTGGCCTGATGGCCACATTACCCCCTTTATCATCTGATGGAAGAAAGCTGTCCCTGAGATGAGAAAGAAACTGGCCAGGAGAGACAGGCTGTCCCTGCCAAATACACGAGAGCCTAGATGCAGACCACACCGCACTGTCAGAGTGGGGCTCTACCCAGGCCTCAGTAACCACCCTGCATGGGCTCAGAAAGGGAAATTCCAGGTGCACCTTCACAGCCTCCTTTGCAAGTTAACCCTTTTTTTCTGCACTAATTCATCATTGAACTTGAACATAAAGGGCCTCACGTGATATGCATGAGACAGTAGCTGTGACACAGTGAGTTTTACATAATGTAAGCTCTGAGGTAATTCATATGTGTGTCCCCATTTACAAAGGATACTCAATGTATAAATAAGGTGCCAAATTTACTACTACTGTTTTTGAGATCAAAATGAGACAGTTTGTTGGTTGAAGTTCATGTCTCTATTTTTCAATTTTAAGTATAAATGTGAAACTCAAAGGAATGACAGATTTTTAAAAGAATTAACCATTAATGTCTAAGTAGGAGAAATAATATATTATGATAAAAGGAGAGGTTATGATTAATCCTTGTTGATTTCTTCCCTTTCATGTGTATCAGGTATCATCCAGACTTGGAAGGGAACGGTTTACTTTTCAAGGTGACATACACAGAAAAGACTGGGAAATACAAGCTGGAAAGGCAAGGTATGCTGCACTTATGTGATTTTTCAGAGCAAATATCAGATTGGTCTGCAGATGAAGGAGCTGAGTGTGATAGAAAGGATGTGATTTGAAAGAAATAGAAACAAAAATAATGGGCATGTATTTTACAACTGGTTAAAAAAAATTTTCCTTCACTGGCAGCAAAATAGAAAATATCAGCTGGCATAAATGCAATAAATATGCAAGACACAGAATATCCTTAATTTACAAAGTGGAAATGCAAAAGAATAAACAAACTACATTACCCTAAGAATATCATTAAATACAAGTAAGTAAAAATGGCCAATAAACTATGAAAAGATTTTAACTTGAAAAAGATCATTTTCAGCCAAGAGAATGTTGAAGTTTCTTAAAAATGTTTTGGAGTGGACTAGAAAAAGGCACCTGAATGTTCATTTTTGGTGAGTATGTGAGATATATAAACTTGTCAATATTCTTTTATCAATGATTCTACCTCTAAAATTTTTTTTTCCTTTTCTTTTTTTTCCAGGTATTTTTATTAGTTGGAGGCTAATTACTTTACATCATTGCAGTGGTTTTTGTCATACATTGAAATGANAACGTATTAATTGTACACAGAGGAGTACTTCTATGTAGGATTTGACACCGAGCAGCCTTTCAGAGGAACACAAGTGTAGTGCTTGGTGATGGTTGTCACTGATGTACTCATGTCATAAAATCTTTATCAATATCCTGAGGGAAATATATAGCAACTGTGTAATAGCACACTTGAAAAACAAAAAGCTTGACCAAAAGGGATAATTAATCATAAAATACTCTAAATCCACCTTTCCAAACTAAGACCTTTTACATAGAAAAGCTTTAAATTACAATGTCAGCCATCAATGAGATGGTGCTTTCAGTGAGGTTCTGTTATTTTGAGATAATGAAAATAGGCCAGCACTAATGATAGTGAAATTTTCTCTTGCTCTGAGCCAAACCCTGTGGTTATATGCCCTCCTTTCTCCAAGACACACGCTCTAGTAATTTTCATCTAAGGACACCCAGCAAGCCGTGCACTATATTCTGTGGATGTTGGAGTTTACAGGTCCAGTCAGCCTGACCGGAAGCATCACTTTGCTGTTTTCTTTGCACCGCCGCATTTCTTTTAAATCTAACAAAACAGCAGCTTGCTTTAATAAATAATCTTTCTTCTCATGGGATGATGATCTTATTGTCAGGAAAAACAATTTCCCTCAGAAAATAATCTGAATCAGAAGCAAGTCTCCCATTCAACTAATGAGAAAAGTCTGTAAGTAATGCTTCAACAGCAGCCGTTCATTTCAGAGTTATGGCTACACTCTGTTTTTATGGATAAAAATAAACCACCTCTTAATTCTCTCCAGTCAGTATAAAAATTGAAAAAAATAGTGATTATCTTTAAATGGATACTAAAACAAGTTAGTTTGAAAGGCAACTCTAATGCAAAACTTGTGTAAGAAACAAAATAAATTGGTTTTTCCATTAAAGTCAAAGCCCCCAGGACTTCCTGGTGGTTCAATGGCTAAGACTCCATGCTCCAATGGGGGCCCAGGTTTGATCCCCGGTCAGGGAACTAGATCCCACATGGCACAACTAAGACCCAGTGCAACCAAACAAATAAATAAAAATAAATAAATACTAAGAAAATTGAAGTGGCACCCCCCACTCTCCCCCGACCCCAAATCAGAATGGAAGAAAGTACAAGCCATGTGTCTACTCAGAGACTTATATTCAGAATATGTAAACCTGTATGGCTAAATAGTACGTAGGCAGATAACCTAACGAAAACACTGGCAACCAATTTGAATACACGTCTCCAAAGACATAAAAATGACCAACAAGCAATTAATCAACATCATTAATCATTAGGGAAACACAAATGAAAACCACTTCACACCCACTAGTGTGGCTCAGACCATAGTGACAAGAAGCAAGTGGAGGCAAAGATGTGCAGAAATTGGAATGCCTGTACTGTCTGATGGGAAAGTAACAATGGTAAGGTGGCTATGGAAAACAGCCTGGCAGTCATTCATTGGGTAGTTGAAACATGGGGTTACCACAAGGTTCAGCAATTCCACTCCAACACATATGTGCAACAGAACTAAAAAACATATATTCACACATGAATCTGTACATGGATGTTTATATCAGCATTATTCCCAATTGTCCAAATGTGGGAACAGCCCAAATGTCCATCAACTAGTGAAGAGATCAACAAAGTGTGGTGCTTCCTTACAATGGAGTATTATTTTGAAAACATTATGCTAAATACAAGAAGCCATTCACCAAAAAAACATATTGAATGACTATATTTATAAGCAATATCCAGGGCAGCCAAATCTATACAGACAGAGTAGTGGTTGTCTAAAGCCGAAGGCTGGGGTGAGGAGGAGTGACTGCTGAGGGGCTCCGTTCAGTTTTAGGGGTGACAGCAGTGTTCTGACATAGATTGTGGTGATCACTGCAACATCAACCCCCATTTTTAATAGTAAAGAAGAATAACATTTGACTTATAGGTATACATTAAAAGGGTAAATTCTATGAATTCTGTCTCACCTTTGTTCTTAAGAAGCATAACTGAGAAAATAACTGTATCCTGCATCTGATTTCCTAAGGCAGCAACAGCAGTAATAATGTGCAGAAAGGGGGCAGTGAGAGGCAAGGATGGAGGTGGAGGTTTGGGGAATGGGTGGAGGGGAGATGGGACACAGTGTCCAGGTTTCTCTTGAGATGGGTAAGGAAGAGATCAGGACACCACTTCAGAGAGTGACTAGATAAGACTTAGCAACACTACAAGGTACATGTTCTGTTAGGCAGTGCTTCTACTTCTTAAAATTCTGTATATTCAGACTCTGACTGATGTACCACTGTAGAAAGAGGATTTCATGGTGGCATCATAGAGAAAGACTAGAAATGGCCCAAACGTTCTTCAACAGCAGAGACTAAATTCTAGCTTAGCCAATTAATAGAATACTGCACACCTGAAAACAATTACACTCACATGTACAAATAGAAGAAACACAAATATATGGTTCAGTTTTAGTGTACCATGGAGCTGGGGCCCTTTGAGCGGCCCTGAGATCTCTTCAAGAAAATTAGAGATACCAAGGGAACATTTCATGCAAAGATGGACACAATAAAGAACAGAAATGGTATGGACCTAATAAAAGCAGAAGATATTAAGAAGCTGTGGCAAGAATATACAGAAAAACTATACAAAATTGATCTTCACAAACCAGATAATCATGATGGTGTGATCACCATCCTAGAGCCAGACATCCTGGAATGTGAAGTCAAGTGGGCCTTAGGAAGCATCACTGCAAACAAAGCTAGTGGAGGTGATGGAATTACAGTTGAGCTATTTCAAATCCTGAAAGATGATGCTGTGAAAGTGCTGCACTCAATATGCCAGCAAATTTGGAAGACTCAGCAATGGCCATAGGACTGGAAAAGGTCAGTTTTCATTCCAATCCCAAAGAAAGGCAATGCCAAAGAATGCTCAAACTATCGCACAATTGCACTCATCTCACACTCTGGCAAAGTAATACTCAAAATTCTCTGAGCCAGGCTTCAGCAGGACTTGAACCGTGAACTTCCAGGTGTTCAAGCTGGATTTAGAAAAGACAGAGGAACCAGAGGTCAAATTGCCAACATCCGTTGGATCATTGAAAAAGCAAGAGTTCCAGAAAAACATCTACTTCTGCTTTATTGACGGCCAAAGCATTTGACTGTGAAGACCATAACAAACTCTGGAAAATTCTTAAAGAGATGGGAATACCAGACCACCTGACCTGTCTCTTGAGAAATCTGTATGCAAGTTAGGAGGCAACAGAACTGGACATGGAACAACAGACTGGTTCCAAATTGGGAAAGGAGTACATCAAGGCTGTACATTGTCACCCTACTTATTTAACTTATATGCANTGATGCTTTTGAACTGTGGTGTTGGAGAAGACTCTTGAGAGTCCCTTGGACTGCAAGGAGATCCAACCAGTCCATCCTAAAGGAGATAAGTCCTGAATATTCACTGGAAGGACTGATGTTGAAGCTGAAACTCCAGTACTTTGGCCATCTGATGCAAAGAACTGACTCATTGAAAAAACCCTGATTCTGGGAAAGAATGAAGGCAGGAGGAGAAGGGGACGACAGAGGATGAGATGGCTGGATGGTGGCAACAACTCAATCAACATGAGTTTGAGTAAACTCCAGGAGTTGGTGATGAACAGGGAGCCCCGGCGTGCTGCAGTCTATTAGGTCACAAAGAGTTGGACATGACTGAGCCGCTGAACTGACTGAGTTCTCCCTGCTGGACAGCGCCACCCCTGGTGGCTGGGTGTTACTGCAGCATGCTGCCCCCAGTCTGTACTGGTTCAGCTGGCAATATCTGGACCCACCACCAGGGAGCACTTGATGCTGTCCCCAGGCCTCTAGCCCCGCCACAAGAATCTCTGCGTTACTCATGCTAACCCCATGCCCAGGGAGGGAGCACCTTGTTGCCTCTGCTCACAAGCCTATCACCTGGGCGCTGAGATTGAGGAGAGCAAGTATCTGGCATCCCTCATGCATGGCAGCTGGTTAATGTGCCTAAAAATAAAAAATTAAGTCTGATTCATATGTGCTGATACAGAAGGATTGCAGAAAGGTATGGTTGAGTTACAAAGTGGCAACATCCAGGATAAAATATGTTTAACTAAGACCTGAGGTGGCAGCTGCTGCTAAGTCACTTCAATCGTGTCCAACTCTATGTGACCCCATAGACGGCAGCCCACCAGGCTCCCCTATCCCTGGAATTCTCCAGGCAAGAACACTGGAGTGGGTTGCCATTTCCTTCTCCAATGCATGAAAGTGAAAAGTAAAAGTGAAGTCGCTCAGTCGTGTCTGACCCTTAGCGACCCCATGGACTGCAGCCTACCAGGCTCCTCTGTCCATGGGATTTTCCAGGCAAGAGTACTGGAGTGGGGTGCCATTGCCTTCTCTGGACTGAGGTGGAGGGAGTAGCATAATCCTGCATCTACTGAAGGTGTGTGTGCTTAGTAGCTCAGTCAAGTCCAACTCTTTTCAACCCCATGGATCATAGCCCACCAGACTCCTCTGTCCTTGGGATTCTTCAGACAAGAATACTGGAGTGCCCTCCTCTAGGGGATCTTCCAACCCAGGGATTGAAACCACATTACCTGCATTGGTAGGTGGATTCTTTGCCACTGAGCCACCTGAAAGCCCTGAAGAACAGTATGGAGGTTCCTTTAAAAGAGCTACCATATGATCCTGCAATCCCACTCCTGGGCATATATCCAGAGAAAACTATAATTTGAAAAAAACACATGAACCCGCAAGGTTCATTGCATCACTAATTTTAACAGCCAAGTCATAGAAGCAACCTAAATGTCCACTGACAGTTGAATGAAGAAAACGTAATACATACGTATGTACATACACACACACACACACACACACACACACGCACGCACGTATTATCCAGTCATTAAACAGAATGAAATCCATTTGCAACAGCATGGATGAA